ACCGTTAACCGTAATAAAAATACATTTTCCTCTTAGTCGGAAAAATTGACGAATTTCAACCGTCAGTCTTAACATAGCACAACATAACTGTTTATTCACAATTCAAATTTTGAATAAAAGGTAAAAAGGAAACAAGAGGTTACCCCTATCAAGTTTTTCTCCTTAAATAATTAAAAATCACAGTAAAATAGTTCAAAAATTCTTAAAACATTAGTAAAATGGCATCTGAGTCTGTTCTTGTAAATGTTCAGAGTTTTTGCCTTTGCAACTTCTTTAGGTAAATTATTCCATTCATTGACTATATTCACACAGAAAGAATACTTAAAACTGTTTAGCTTTGCGGGCAATGGTTTCACTTTAGGGCGATGGTTGGTTCTTAACTGTCGAAAATCATGTGCAAATGTAAAATACTTAAATGGGTGTAGCCGGTTAAGACTGTTAACCGTCTTATAGCACTCGGTAAGCGAAGAAAATAATCTTCACAGATGTAGAGTTGGCCATTTAAGGACCTTTAAGCGCTCTTCATACGACATATCTCGGCCAGTGTTTCTGATTGCATATCTACGTGTTCTGCGTTGTACTTTCTCGAAAATAGCCGAATCCTTTCTGAGGTGTGGAGACCACACTGGAGAGCAGTAATGAAGTATTGGATGTACTAAACTCGTGTACCATGAATGAGTTGCCAGTAATCTGGGATCGCCACGGGGCAAACAACGGAAATTGCTACAAAGAAATCTATGGCGAAAAGTTGTCTTGGCGTCCAATAAAACGATTTTTGAGATAATTCAGCGCTTTTTTGCAGCCGTTTTATCAGAAAAGGATGAAAGCAATGTTGATACGTGGGAAGTCTAAGTCTTTGATCAAATAACCATGAAATATGTGTTAAAATCTACCGATAGATTTCTCTCCTTTCGTAAGGTTTATTGTGAAATCGTCATTTCGTAATGTTCTCGAAACATCACAAAGTTACGTATAAATCAAAGGAAATTACCTAATAAAGTAATTTACGTGCACAGCCATTTTTAATACTAGCTAACGTCTTTCATATACAAATTATGGCTTCCAGAAATTTACCTCCTCAAAGGAGAGAATTCGTCGTCAGAGGAGATGGAAATTGTTTTTACCAAGCAATTGCCCTCTGGAATGATGAAATAAGTGATGAAATAACATAAAGAAATCCGCAGGTTAAGTTCTAGTTTGATAGAGAGAAATCCGAAGGTGTTTGAGCCGCTACTTTTCTCTTCGAACTCCGTGGAGGATCATGTCAAAAACAGCAAGATCACGGAAACTTGGGCTGAAACTGTGGACATCTTCAGCTGTGCATCACTTCTCGAGCGACCCATTTACACCTTCTTATCGTCGCAGAAAACATGATACAACTTTGAACCGATTATGAAAACTGATTCGTTTTCATCGCTCATAAAAAAGACGTGCAAGTGTCCAATCACTTTGATGTATCATGATAAGTATGCTCAGGCAAATCATTTTAATCTCCTTCTGAAGTGCTCCAGTGCCTGAGAATACAGCATCCTCTGTTTCAATAGATTTAGAAAACGGTGGTAATTCATACGCCAAAGCTGTGAAACAAATGTCACAAACTCATCCTTCCTTCAAACCACATTTGATTAAATCTACAGAGTCCAAGTAACCCGGTCAAGATCTAACTTCTTTAAGTACAAAAACATTGTCTTCGAACTCTAAAACAATTGCGGAAAAGCCAACTCAATCTTAAGAAGCTACCACTGCCAAACAAACCTCTTGTGTGAAACAGCTAAATCCAGCTACATGTACTAAACCTTCTTCTGTCCAACAACCATCTTATTCTACTATGACCAGTTCCCAAACACTAACAGACAAAACTTCATGTACCACTACTAAGCAACCATCTTGTAAACAAGCCATTGCAACAATTACTGGTTCCAACTTTGATCAAATGGATGTGAAAAAAATTAAAGCATTTATTTCTGCCCGGGGTGTTCAAGTCTCCACTTACCGCAAAACTGAACTTATTCACCTAGCTAAAGCAATTGCTTTTATGGACCTTCCTACTGACCCTGAATTTGAAAATGAGTCCATTGATGAATGTTTGTCAAGACACCTCTCACTTCCAGTGGGACAAAAAATTTTGAACCCCTTCCAAATGGCATCATTGACCAATGATTTCTCTCAGCTCCCTCCATCTGGACTAATGGACATTTTTAATCATCAGATTATGAGCAAAACTGATTATGATAAAAGCAAGTTATCCTCCTGGCGCTCATTTGAAGAGTAAAATTTATGTACAAATGGCCATGTTCAAAGCCTTGGAGTAAATGCTACAGAGGACCTTGAGAAACTTTGAAAAATTGATCCTTGTTCCGGTATTCTTGATTTTTTACTGTTTTCCCCAAATTATGATGAAAATGAAAATTGTTCTTCTCATTTTGATAGTAATATATCTCACCTGACCATATCATCCCAAGTTAAGAATTATGTCAAGACAAATTCTAATAAGCTATCAGAGGACAACCTTTTAAATTTAGCTGAAGAATTTCTAAAAGCCTTGACCTTTTCAGACAATGATAGCATGACTATAAACGAAGCAACCATGGGATAACACGAAAACAAAAGCTAGCATGAGATGAGACACCTTTTAGTTACTGGGAAAAAATAAAATCTCTTTATACCTGACAAAAAACTTTAGAAAAAGATCCTCATATTGATGTATCACTCACTGTTAAAAATTTCACAGAACAAAAAGAATTCAAAGAAAACCAAGTGTATCCTGAAGCCATAGAACATGGTATAAAGGAAGAAGAAAATGCAAAATTTTACTACACAAAAGTCAATGAAAAAAAGCACTGTTCATTTGATCTTGAGGAGCCAGGTCTCCTTATTAGTAGCAGTTCTTCTTGGATAGGAGCAAATCTAGATGGTATTTGAAAATGTCAGTGTTGTGACCCCATGGTAGTAGAGATAAAATGTCCATTTAAAGGGAATGACCTTGACCCTAAAATTGCTTTCCTGCTACCAACTGTTGGTGGAAAAAAAGATGAAAATGGAAATGTTTTTCTGGACAAAAAATCATTTACATTATTTCCAAGTTCAGACTGGCATGGCAGTTGCAGCTTTTAAAAACTTGCGATTTTGTTACCTATAATAGTAAAGGGATATTTATTGTTACAATTACTTTTAATGATAAGTTTTGGGAAACTGTTGTAGCAGCAGTTTACAAGTTTAACTGTCAGCAAATAGTTCCTTCTTTCCTTATGGAAGCCTTACCTGATGACAATTTTCACACAAAAGAGTTATCCCAAAGACAAGAAGATCAACAAATTCAGTAAATATAAGTTCTTGTTTCTACAGTGTGTTCCTTACTTTATGTTTCTTCCACATAAATTAGTTAATGCCGCACAAGCAAAAATAATTCTATCAACACTGGTTTTAACAAAAGTGGAATAACTCCTGAAAGAATTCTAAATTGCTTCAATCTCAAAATGTTTCTTTCAACGTGAGTTCTTAATGATGCCACACGACAGCTATGTGTTGTCCCTTTTACTGATAGGCATGGTCCTCGACAGTAGGCTGGTGAGACAAGGCGGATTTTCTTAAATGTTAAGAGATCCCAAATCACAAAACCCTTGTCAGCCATGACTGCATCCCCCTCCTCAAGCAAGTCTAGCAATCCACTTTGCCTAACAATTTCTTTGTCACTGATGGATCCTGTCCGTAATGGTGGAATGAAGGATACATCACCAGTTGGTGTTATTGCTACCAACAATTTGGCAGTGTTCCAATGTTTGTAATTACTCCATGTGATCTTTTGGCTTGAAGGAACTTTTGGTTTTTGTATGAAAAGTTCAAGACAGTAAATTATAACTCTTACATTCTTAAATTTTTTTAACCTTTTTGGCAGACATTTTTGTAATTCTGATCTTGAAGGCCATGGAACTAGAAAGGGCAGCTCTTGAGAAAGAAATATTATCCATGTATTGTAAATTCTGGATACTTCAGAAAAATTAATGCCAAAAGTGTCAGCTAGGAATTTGGCATCAAAACCTTTTCTTGTTCTCACTAAGGTAAGAACAAGAAGTTCCCATCTTGTCAAGACTCCACCATTTTTTCTCTGTTTTTGTGTCTCAGCTACTCGTTTTTTTGATGACTTTTTAGTATTCTTACTACCCCTCCAGAGACGTATTTCAACGGCCTTTGGTTCTAAAACTTAAAAAACCAAATCAAGCCTAGACCTAGTTACACCTGTGAAACGATAACAGTTTTTAAAACAAGTTGCCTGGTCAATTAAATATTTTCACTTCTCTTTCACTTGACTTAGACACTCTGTCTGTGTAGCTGATTCAACAAGAAAACTAGCTTCATGATCAGTATCTGCAGGGAATGCTGAGGCTACATAATCTAATTCAGTGTTTTCTTCTAATAAAGTCTCGTCCTCCACAAAGGGCTCATTCTCAACTGGAACTTCACTTTCGTTACTATTTCGCTTTCTCTTCCTTGAGCGACTCTCTTTGATCTGTGTAGATCGGATCTCTGGGGGAGGTCTTTTAGATTTACTCTCACAATCGTACCCTTTCATGACAACGTTGGTGTAAGACATTCAGAAGTTCTGTAACCTTGTGCAAAATGATTTGAACAGACCTTCGTACTCATTGTTACCTTGAAGTGATCACGATTAATAGATCTAGCCCACGACAAGAAATCTTTCTTACTCTTGGGGGAGTAAAATCTCAATATTCCAAAGTGAGGAAGAGTAGTTTTCTTTGCTGGGTACCTTCGATCGTTGTTACAACCTCACACAGCGCAGTGATCGCCGCGAAGCATATTTCCAATAATATTTGTGTTAACGAGCTTAGAAATGAGCCAGAAGTATACCGCATACATTAATTTACAAATGAAAAAGCTTGAATGGGTCACTTACTCGCAATTATTACTTAATTTCGAGATATTTCAGTTGTCTTTTAAGTAGTGCCTCATTTTAATGAATTCTCTGAACTGAGAATGTGACCGTAAGTACTAAAATAGTTTGTCTTTTCGTGTCCTTCATGATAGCATTAGAGAGCGCCATGTATCCGACCATTAGATCAGGACTGGCGAAGTTTGATGTTAGTTTACCCGAGGAACTCCAAGACTATGTCAGTTACTTATTAGATGAGTCAGCTAAACTTCACTTACGCAAGCAAGGTACTTAACATTGTTAAAATAAGCTTGTATTGGCTTTGAAACATATGTCCAATTATCCATATTCGGTCGTAAGATTATTGAGAAATACTGGGTTTGTGTAATAGTCAAGAGATTTTTTTAAACCCAGATTTGTGATCTTGTGTTAGGTTATTTTCATTCTCAGTAGACCTGGTATCTTTATATAATCATCAAATGACCTGCGCGGTCTAATGCCCGTTCTTATTAAGAAAAAAGAAATTACAAATAAACCCCTTTATGAAGGCGGGGCGCGGTTGCGCTGGCAGGGGCATTTAAAGCTGCAGGGCCAAGCGTGCGTCCATGCGAGAAGAAAGTAGAATGAGAACAGTGGCGTTCATGGAATAAAAATCTGATTGACTGAGTAAGATCAGGTCGGACCAACATGACCCTTCTACTCAGTCCATAAGTGCATAGAATTCTGATGCTAAGGCTGATCGCTTATGTGGTGTAACCTAAGTACTTTATGATCGTATTACCAAGAAAAAGACGTCTCTTTCAATTTATCAACACGAATACTTCGTTGTTATATTTGCAAAGTGAAAACAATTTTTTTTCTCTTGTGTTCTTGAAAATGTTCTGAAACTTTAAAACCACATTGGGAAAAAAAAAAAACAACAACAACAACTTCTCTCGCGGGCATTTTCGACTCCAAGAGTTTTAGATTATTAGCGAGGGAAAAGATAATATTGGAATAAAACTTTATGACAACGATTTACAACTTCGCAAAGGATTTGCTGACATTTTAAGACTTCTTGGAAAAGAAAAAGAAAATAGGCTTAGTTTAATGTTTTTGGTATCGCACGACATTTTATTGTTTATACTGTCCGTCTCCTTGTTTTCCCAACTGGTTTCCTTTGACTTGGGATGATTCAACAATAAGTCGAACACGGAGACTCGAAATTATTTTTGTGTCCAATTTGCCTAGGTGTTTTCTGTGCTTTGTCAGTTTTTAGACTAAAACAATGTAAAGGTAGTTTTTTTCGCGGTAATGTTTTCAAGTAAAAATTAATATTTCTTTTGTTTTAATCCTTTAGTACTTCAACCACCTCGTGCCTTAGAGGAACTACGAGTAGCAATGGATAAAGACGAATTGAAAACATTCCTTACTATTCACATCAGAGAAGGTGCATGGCAGGTGGTGCTGCTGTTTACGGATGAGCTCTCTATACATGAACCACCATGGGGCAGCCATCATGAAATTTATAATAAGGACGAGGACGAGGAGGTGTTTATTGAAGTGATATACAGTTCGACGTCAGGCATATTGAAGGCGTGGCCAACAGAGTTCGACCCTGGTTTGGTAGCGCTGTGTAAAGCGATCACCAACAGGGACTGGAAAGTAACCAGATTAATTCTCGCTTACAGTCGGATATCTGATGAAGGTTTGAAGAACTTAAGTACAGCGCTTACTCAGGGTGAACTTTACAGCTTGACACTGTATGACATTGGTTTACAAAGTCAAGGATTAGAACACCTGTGTACCGCGCTAACCAGCGTAAACTGCAGATTAACAAACTTAGACGTCAGTTACAATGATTTGGGAGACGTAGGAATAATGCAATTGTGTAACGCGCTAGCCAGCGTTAACTGCAGATTAACAAGCTTAAACGTCAGTTGCAATAAGTGGGGAGACAATGGAGGAATGCACTTGTGTAACGCGCTAACCAGCGTTAATTGCAGATTAACAAGTTTAAACGTCAATGAAAATCAGTTGGGAGACAACGGACTGAAACACTTGTGTGATGCACTGACCAGCAGTAACTGTGCTTTAACGAAATTAAAAGTCGGTTTTAATAGACTAGAAGATGGAGGAATCAAAGAATTGTCTGAAGTCTTAATCAACGGATTCTGTACATTAACAAGCTTAGACATAAGCGGCAATGAATTTGGAGATGAGGGAATCAAGTACCTGTGTAAGGTCTTGACTGATACCAACTGCAAACTACAGAGCTTAAACCTTCAGGGAAATCGGTATGTAACAGATGATGGAAAAAAATGTTTGTCTCAAATGTTAACTGGTACTGCCTGGAAAGATAAAGGAGCTCTACGACTTTTCCGTTCAACTAAAAAGTAGACCAAGGAACAGGTCAGTGGCACAAAGCCCTGACAGGTTCCTCCTGTTACGTTTCGCTTGACATGAAACAAATTCCATTTTTATGAATGACAACTTGAAGATTATTGTTCAAGGTGATTAATTAGATAGCTGACCTGCTAGTCACTATCACTTGTTGAACGGAGTAGTAAAATTGATCAGCAGTGAGGCAGTCGAAACATCGCGATCAAGAATCGAGAAATGACTCGCCATCATGACACAAACGATTATTTAACGTTCATTATCCGGTAGACGAATTTCTCTGACTATAAATGCAAATAGACTATAAATGCAACTGCAATTTCGTATAACGGGTCTGTTGGCAATAATGTTGTTACTTTTGTGACAACAAATTTTAAACTACAGACAATAGGTTATACTGGTGATTTAGCTGCAATAAGATGCCAAAAATATTGAAATAAGAGAGATGATAAGTTTTGAGCTCGGTA